AACAAATATATAAACCTTCTTAAATACCAAAAACATTTGTAAGTACAAAAGGAAAAAATACACAACCAATAGAGAAACATAACAAATATGAAAAATACACATAACTTAAATATGTTGTCAGAGTTAAGATCAAACATGTCAGTCATAGCAGTAAATGTAAATAGCCTGAAGTCATCTATTAAAAGAAAAGATTTTCAGTTCGGCTCACAAAATAAGACCTACATATAAACTGTATACAAAAGACACATGTAAAAGAAAGTGATTCACAAAGTCTAAAAATAAATGGATAGGCAATAATAACATCCTGATATAAGACAAAATAGAATCCAACCAAAACCATTAAGCATGATCATAGACACTTTTTATTGTTAAAAGTCACAATTCACTTTGAAGATATAAAACACATGAAAATATATGCACTAAATGACTCAGCAACAATCTTTATGAAGCACAAACTGCAGGAAACAGAAATTAACAATAAGAGAAACCTATACAAAACACATTTATCAACTAAAATGAAAATAAATTAATTATATCCCGTTAAGAAAAACAAGAACAACAATAGCAAAGTGAACCAAAAGAAAACACAAGGAAGGAAATAATAAAGATAAAAGCAGAAATTAATGAAGTAGAGAATAAACAGATCTAATTAAAAAATAAGAACTCTTCGTTTTTAAAAATAAAAACAGACAACCGGTGGTCAAGAAAAAAGGGAGATCATACAAATAGCAAAATAATAAATAACAAAGGGGAAGTAACTACTGACACAAAAGACATTTTCAAAAATCATAAGAGACTACTTTGCAATCCTCTGTGCACATAAACTTTCCTAGGGAAATACAGATTGCCAAAGTTGACCCCATTTCATTTAGAAAGCTTAAATAGGACAATTTCAATAGAAGGAATAAACAGTTATTAAGGAGCTACCCCACAAAACAAACAAACAAACAAATCACCAGACCCAGATGGTTTCTCAAAGGAATTTTACCAAACCGCCAAAGACCAGAAAGTCCCAGCGCTCTGTAAATTATTCCAGAGCACTGAAAGGTAGGGAAAACTTCTTAACTCCTTATATGAAGCATGTGTGACATTGATACCTAAGCCAAATAACAATGCAAAGAAACTACTGATCAATCTCATTCATGCATATTGATGTAAAATATTAACAATCATGAATCAAAAATCACATTAAGAAAGTAATATACCATGTGCAAGTAGGATTTATCCCAGGAATAATGCAAGCCTGGTTTAATGCTAGGAAATCCATTGATACCACATGCCATATTAATAGCCCAAATGGAATAAATAATAAATTATCTCCACAGATGCTGAAAAAGTCTTTGAAAAAAACTCAACACCCATTCATGATAAAAAATAAGTAAAAGGAAATCAAAGGGTATTTTTAAATGGTATTGTGTATGTGTATATGTGTATAAAAGTTTAAAAAGTAAGTACAGTATCCTGCCCATCATGTAAGAAAGGAGATATAAGAAAATATGTCTGCTCATTTGTGCAAAGAATATGTAGAAATGATAAATGGAAAAATAAAAGAGAATGATTATGTGCAGGGGGTGAGTGGAAAGGGATAGAAAGAAGGGAGAACTTAGAAAGTAAGGCTGAGAAGGAAACAGCACTTCTCTGAGTATATCATTATTAGCTCTGACTCTTAGAACCATGGAAATGTTTCACATACCACCCAAAATAGTTACTTTTTTGTGGGTGGAACCAAAAATGGAATACAAACAGTAACAAATGAACTGTATTACAAGTGAATAATGTAACCACACTGAGGGAAATAGGGAAGAAAGAACTTACCTAAGTAAACTTGGGACTTAGTATTTGGACTGGACACTGTAAGGCTCAAAATGAAAATAACTATTATACTCTTGTTAGTACAAGGTTATGGGTTAGCAATTCTATAACTATTATATATGTATGTTAGCACTGAACAATTAAGTCAGTATAGATAATTAGAGACAGATTTTTCACTGAGAAAAAAGTTACAAATAAGAAAAATGGACAAGCTTGAATGAACTGTACTAGGCCTGGAGGTCCTAGTATGGACTCATGATTTTAAGATATATACAGATATATAGAGAAATATATATGTGTATGAATATGGAGGTAAATATACATACATATATTTCCCGGCTTTGTGCTGAGAGGGCCTATGTGTAATGATACTCCAGTAACAGTGAGCATACCTAGGGCCAGATCTTGGTTTCTAAACACCATTTTCCAATAAAATGAACCAGAGCACCTTGGAGAATTAGTTGATTTGAGCACTGTGGCTGGACAAGATGAAGCTGGAACATTTTGTGGTTCCAGAAAAATAAGAAAGTGCTCAGAAAAAGAGAGGCATGTCAAAAGGACACAGGAACCAAACTGAAGACGTTCCCAATGACCAAACCTGGAACAATTTTAATAACAAAATAAATAATGCTAGAATTGAATTATAACCCTTAGAACAAACTAAATACCTGAAAGCCCATAATGAAATAAATAAAAATTGAATAAATAAATGTGTTTGAAGAGACATGTTTCCTTATAAAAGAATTCTAAGTAGTAAATCTAGAACCAATGAAAAAAATACAAACTCATTAGGCAAACACCACAGGAGTAATTGTGGGTGAGATCCACTAATGGATGCTAAAATCAACAGGTAAAAGGTTGACTTGAAATAGTGTTTTCATAATCTCAAAGTACCCCCCACAATATATTTATCAATTAGAAAAAGAAATACAGTAACTTTATAGTGGAGAAAACTGGCATTCGCAGTTTAACCAAGTGATCAAGGTAAATATTGCCAGTACTGAGGTTTATGGACATCATGCACCCCCATATGATATGCTGAGAAGGATATAGCATCACTTCTATGGTTTCTTGCCAAAAAAGAAAAAACATAACTTCAGTTTAATAATGAGATAGCATCAGACAAACCTGATTTAAGGAACACTCTGCAAAATGATGACTAGTACTCATCAAAAATATCAAGGTCATGAGAGACAAAACAAGACAAAAGAACTGTCACAGACTGGAGTTGACCAAAGAAAGAACAACTATGCAGTGCAATGTGGAATCCTGAATTGGATACTGGAACAGAGAAAAGGACGTAAGGAGAAAAACTGATAGAATATGAATAAGGTCTGTAGTTTAATTAGTAGTAATATACCATTGTTAATTTCCTATTATATAGTAAATGCTTTCCCCTAAAATCAGAAACAAAGCAAGGATGTATACTGTCTCTACTCATTTTCCATATAGTACTGGAGTCCCTCAAGAGTGCACTAAGGAAAGAAGAATAAAAGGCATTAAGATTGGAAAGGAAGAATCATAACATAAACAACATGATTGGCTGCATAGAAAAATCCTAAGAAACCTACAGAAAAAAATTAATAAGTGAACCTAGGTCACAGGATAAAAGGACAATAAACCAAACTGTTTTGTATTTTTTATATGCTAGCAACAAACAATTGGAAAGTTTAAAACTTTTCTTCACAGGACACCATTAAGAAACTTAAAAGGCAAGCTACAGACAAGGAGAAAATATTTTAATACTTCTTTGATAAAGAATTTATATCCCAAATATATAAAGAATTCTCATAACTTAGTAAAAAGGAGATAACCCAGTAAAAAAAAAATAGGCAAAAACTCAACAGGCCCCTCACAAGAGAAAATATAAGAGTGGACAATAAAGATATGTGAAGATACCCAAATTATTAGTCATCAGGGAAACCAGTAAAACTATAATGGCACATAACACCTCACACTGCTGTAACTAAATTTAAATGACTTATGATACCAGTGTCGGCAAGGATATAGACCCATTGGAAATCTCAAACATGGCTATTTAGAAGGTAAAATGACACAGCTACTTTGGAAATTAGTTTGGCATTTCTTAGAAAAGTTAAATATACAGTTACCACATGACCTGGAAATTCTACTCCTAGATAGGAGGGACAAAGCTAATCTCAAGTGGGAAAAAAAAGATCAATGTTTGCCCAGGGCAAAGATAGGGAATCCTTGTAGAGAGACTGGAGAGGGTTCCCAGGGGACAGTGGAACAGCTCTACATCTTGATTCCAGTGGTGGTTGCTTCCTTGTGTACACTTTTTGAAACTCATTGAACTGTACACTTAAAACAAGTGCTTATTGTAGGTTAATTAGACTTTAATAAGCGAACTTTTAAGGTAGAAAAAAAAATCAGAGTTAATGTTTACTGAGCATTTCCTTTCTAATTGCTTTCTATATTCTGCATCATGTTGCTGAATTCTCAAAACCACCTTATTAGGTAGGACTTCATTATCCACATTTTTCAGCTGAGGAAACAGAGATAAAGATCACAGCAAAGAAAGAGTATTTGAAGCCAGGCATCTGGCTGCAGAGGCTGTGCCCTTGATCACTGTGCTACAGGCCTGGAACTTCAAGGATCTCTCCCCTGATAGTAATAAAGCTTATCCTGAGGACATGCTAGCCAAGCCCTCTATTTGGAGCAGCCAAAATAAGTGAGTGTGGACCTGGAAAACGAGGGCAAGAACCCAAGAGAAGAGGCAGCCTGGGTGGAACATCACTTGTCCAAGCCTGGACTCCTAACTCCCTGCACTGGAACCATAAGGTGCCAGACCTTTGCTTCGCCATAGGCGAGCTGAATCAGAATCTCTGGGATGGGCTGGAGAACCTGCATTTTCACACGAACCACTCCCCACCCCCACCCAGATGAAAGCGGTAGGGACAGGTCTGCAGAGGAAGGTCTGTGTGTCGGACCAGACTGGGTTAAAATCCTGCCCTCTCAGGCCCTAGCTTACCTCTCTGTGCCTCAGTTTGCTCATCTGCATGATGCGCATCATGACAGTATCAACCACGAAGGGTAGCCGGGAGATTTAAGTGAGAATTAGGCACAGCACCTGGCACAAAGGAAGCACTCAATACATGATGGATTAAAACAACTGAATGAGGGCCTGAACTCCACCCAGCACCTTTTTCTGTCTCCTTCCTCTCCAGGCCCTGGCCTGGCCTTCATCGCTTACCCCAAGGCTGTCACCATGATGCCTCTCTCCCCACTGTGGGCCACCTTGTTCTTCATGATGCTCATCTTCCTGGGCCTGGACAGCCAGGTAAGGTGGGGAGCCCAGGCTGGGGGGCAGGGCGGCCAGGTGCTGCTCATAGGAGTGTCTCAGGAGCCTGGCCACAACATTCCCAGTGCTAGTTGTCACCAAGGGCCCCACAGCAGTGGCCCTGTCCTGACCAAATCACAGAGGATGCAGGGACGTACAAAAGCACCTTCTCCTTCTTCCCCCTTCTCTGTGTTGGAGGCCCCATGACACACCCCCATGACAAGCCACCCGCATCCTCAGTACCCCAACCAGCTCTCACTCCCCCCACGCCCCATCCTCCTGCCTCTGTTCTCATCCTTGCCTGTAGGGCTCCCAGATCCACCTTCCACTTGGCAGCCTGCCTTCCTCAGTAAACGGTGAACAGTTAGAATTAGCAATTTCACCATATGCACATTTTCCTTTATCCCCTCATGAATGCAGGCACTTACGTCTTCTCCCACTATAAACTCACCCCAGCCTGCCCTCCCAGCCCTCCTCCAGTCCTATCCTTAGTCTTCCAGCCAGAATCCTGTGACCTCCAGTTGCTCTTCACCCCCAGATACCTGCCTTGGCCCTGCTGCTCCATCTCAGCTGGTTTCCCTAAGAGCCCCAGAAGACATCTTCCAGCCAAAGCCCGGGGCTCCGCTATGAGACTGGGGTCTGTTGGGGAGTTGCTGTCTCCCAGCCGTGACCTTGTGCAAGTCAAAGTAGCACCCAGGTCCCATGACCAGCATGTCTGTCAATCCAGCCAAGTCCAATTTCTTCCCCTGGATGGTTTCTTTGAAACTGTTAAGCCCGGCTGCTACAGCGCCAGGTGTTTCTGCTGATAACCTTCCCTTCCATTGTTCAGGGCAGAAGGCTTGGGATCGGCGGCTTATGCATTGCAGAGACAGGCCAGCCTCAGCAGAGAGAGGTGGGGCTGGGACCAGGCCCTGTGAGCCCTGAGCCCTGAACTAAGCTGGCCGGATACTTGGGCTGAGATGTTCTGTTTGCAGAGGGGGCCTGGGGACCTGGAGGTATGGCTGAGAGAGCAGATGGCTGCTCTGCTCACCCCCATACGTGCTGAGATGTCCTCAGTTTTTTGTCACAATAGCCACGTAACTGGGGGGGGTGGGACTGTTGTCATCCGTGATTTGCAGATAAAGAAACTGAGGCTCAGAGATGCTGAGACTTCCTGAGACGTGGACCCAGGTCTGTGGGCCTCTTAACTCACATGCTCTGATGTCTCTTCAGTTTCCATCCTGGATAAACAGCCTCCCCTGAATTGCACCTCCTTCCTTCCCTGGGGGCTCTGGAAAGATGACCAGAGCCAGCCTTGTAGTAGAGGCAGGGCAGCCAGGAGGGTAGGAGCCTGGGCCTTGGAGTCAGACAGGGCTGGGTGTGAGTCCCAGCTCCATGCCCCTGGCCGGCTGTGTGCCTCTGGCCTCATTGCTTCAGTACATTTGTCTGTACAGTGAAGTTGGAAATACCTTTCCTGAGGAGGTACATGTAAATTGGAAAGGATTTGGGATCAAGAAGTGGCTACAGGGAAGAGAGTCTCCCCACATGGGAGATGAATCCGGTGCTCCTCCCACCTTCCCAACTGGCCATTCAGTGCAGTGGTTAAAGCCCAGCTCTGGAACACAGTTGCTTGGTTCAAATTCAGGCTCTATCACTGAACACCTCTGTGAGCTCGGGCAAGTTGCTTACCCCCCTAGGCTTCTGTGTCCTCATTTACAAAACAGGGGTAATAATAGTATTTACTATTTATAAATGAAATATGTTAACATCTGTTAAACTGCTTAGAACAGGCTAGCACACGAGAAGCACTGTGTATTTGCCACTATTATCATTACTGTTAATTTCTCAAACATTTTCTAGCATCTCCTTTATGCCACTGGAAGTAGATAGATGAATATGATGGGGCCCTGGCCCTCTAGTAAGCACACAGGTATAAGCCAGAATGGGCCCCAGAGGCTGAGGGTGTATGGACTGGGCCTAGAGGAGAGGCAGGGGCTGCCGGCTCAGGCTGGGGGCAAGGACGAGGGGCAGGAAAGGGCTTACGAGGGAATTCTGCTCTCAGTGCTGGGAGAACACAGGGACGGGGAGGTAGGTATATGGGGATATCTGGGCTGGGTGTTGCTGGGTGAATAGGAATGGACCTGGCGCCACGTGGCTGGCCCTGTCTCAGTGTGGCAGGGCACAGATACTTAGTGGCTCATGCTCTGCACAGAGACTCACACAGCAGAAACACGGCACTGGGTATTGCTCACCTCTGTTGCCCTCCACCCAGCAGAAGGGCATTTGCCCACCATATGCAAAGGACAAAGGAACTGTCCCAGTCCTAGAGAACCAGAGCCTGCCACCAGCAGAGCATAGCTCTCAGCACAGTTACAGAGACTCCTGTCTTGCCTCCCAGGCAGAGGCTGGGTCTCCTTCAATTTGTGAACCCCGAAATAGTGCCCAGCACATAGGCACATGAGAGGCAGCGTAGGGGAGAAAGAGTACTAACTTTAGAGGCAGGAGACCCCAGGTCAAGCCCTGACTCTACCACTTCCTTGCTGAGTGACCTTAGGCAGGTTACTTCCCCTCTCTGAGCCTCAGGGTTCTCATCTGCTAAAAGGGCATGCTGGAGTTCTGTACATGCTGGGACTGTTGTTATTCTCAGTCCTCTCTGACCCTGTCAGTGTGAGTGTGGAGATGAAGGTAAGGCCGAGTGGAAAGGAAGCCAAAGGCTTAGGCCTGCTGTGCTTTCCCAGAGCCAGGCCGCTAAGAACAGCCTTTCTTGTGGGCTTGACACCGTTATGTCTACCCCGTCCAGTTTGTGTGCGTGGAAAGCCTTGTGACAGCTGTAGTGGACATGTACCCCAAGGTCTTCCGGAGGGGCTATCGGCGGGAGCTGCTCATCCTGGCCCTGTCGGTTGTCTCCTATTTTCTGGGCCTCGTGATGTTAACAGAGGTGAGTGACATGGACAGAAGTAAGCGATGAGATTGGGATATCAAGGAGTAAGTGCCTGGGCTCTGGGTTAGGCAGATCTGATGTCATATGCCAGCTCTGAAATTGACTAGCTGTGAGACCCAAGCCAGCTTTAGGACTTCTCTGGGACTCTGTTTTCTCATCTTAGCAATGAGTTGTTGGAACATCAAAGGTTATCATTAAGGCCTGAGCACAATGTCTTATATGTATAAATGTTTAGCTAGAGGTTGCCACTGTCATTACCAGAGGGAAAGAAAACTCAGAGGGAAATCCTGGGCTTACCTGGCAATCATGAGCATCTGGATATACAGGCCACCCCTTGCAGCAACTTCTGAGTGAAGGGCACAGTGTCAGCCACAAACCCCTCAGCTAGTTACTGTTATTGGCCTTAAGTTCAGAGCACTCTTTTCTGGGACATCAGTTAGCAATAGACTCAAACGAGGAAGTTTGGCACCTTCAGGCACAGTGTGGTCCAGCCCCAGCCCTCTATGTGACCCTCTTCTTGTCTCTGCTGGGCCTGTGAGTAAGGAGGGTATCACCAGGACCTCCGGATTAAGACTGTCTCGTAAAACCATGTTGCTCTCCCCTCCTGCAGCCACCCTGTCTAATAAATACTTTTTCAGGTAACTTGGGATGGTGAGATAGTTATCTTCCCTCACACTCAAAACATTAATTATTTAAAAAAAACAAAAACAGAAAACTTTTGCCTAGAGAAAAGAAGAGGTTTTGTAAGGAACATGAAAAGAAATGAGGGAACTCAATCCATCCAAGCAGCTGAGGTGGTACTGAGGTTAGTCCGTTTATCCTCCCCATCCTGCACTACTTTGTTCAAACACTGCCTCCTCCTGGAAGCCTCCTCTGCTTTTCCCCCTCCCCTAACTCTGTTCCAAGCTCAGCCAAGTCCACTCCCCCCCATTACAGTGACATTCTGTTCACCTGACTCCCCAGCCAGGCCCAAGGTCCAGGAGAACAGAGCTGGCTTTGCAGGCTGTGCCCTTGGGGCATGGTGGCAGCTGTTATTACTGCTCCTAGTCATTGTCACATTAATGGAAGTGATAATCAGTATTTGAGTAAATGAATGGTGAGGCATTTCCCATTTCCACCTCACCTCTCCCCACACAGAGAAACCAGCACTGCAGTGAGCAGGGCCTCATTAAATGCTGATTAATTACGCAAAGTAGAGTTTTCTGTCACATACAAATTGGAGGGTTAACCTGATGTGCTCAAGAGGTGACAGGGACGGAAAAGCAGGAATTGGCATGGGCGTGACTGGCTTGGAGCAGCAGGCAGGTGGAGGGGACCCTCCTGCACCCTCTGCCTTGGGTGCCCCCTTTCCACAGAGCCTTCGTGCCTACCCCCTACCTGAGGCCCCTGGTCTGCCTAAGAGTGCTTCATGACCCCTGGGGCCCATCAGGGAGCCTGCGCTGTAGCTACCCAAGACAGTTCATCAGCAGATACTTGGGTTTCCCAAGCCAGCCTCCTGACTCCGTGGAGGAGGAGTATCTGTGAGTGATCGCACTGGGGAAGTTCAAATTGCCAAATGGACTGCATCAGCCTCAGCCTTCACAGTAATTGCTGGCAGGATCTGCTCCTTCATCTATACTCATTTAAACTCGTCTCAAGGGGAAAAATAGACCACAGATTTCTTACCTTGAGCAAGACAGTGTGATAGGTGGTTAAGAGCATGGGCTCTGCAGCCAGCCTGCATTCAATCCTTAGCCCCACGGCCAGCTAGCTGGATGACCTGTGGCAAGTTTCTCACTGTTCTGTGCCTTAATTTCCCCATATGGACACTGGAGATAAGAACAGTGCCTTGTAATTGCAGTGAAAGATCACCTGGATTGAGATATGGGAAGCAGTTCAAACACCCTGGTGCTTAGCACTATGTGAAGGTTCCTTCTAAGGTGTTTGTTTTGTTTTAATGTATGATATTCATGGAAGAAGACACTCAGGAAAGCAATTAGGAGGGTGTTCTCAGATTTTCAACTCAGAAAGTCAAGCCCACTGCTAGTCACAGAAGCTCAGAACTGCTCTTACTTTCACAGACCTGAATATCCGCCACATTCTTTACAGATGGGAGACCCCAGACCAGATACATCCCAGAGATCTGCTTTGTTTCACCTTCACTGTGTGTTTTAAGAACATGAAGAGGTGGCCAGCAATTGGAGAAAAAGAATTCTCATGAACGTCAGGATTTCTGGCATCTTCCAGAAAACCTGCAGATCTGGCCACACCCAGGCCTCTATACCCCACGAACAATGGACCAGAATTGTGTGGCCAAACGGGTCCTGTGTTCTCTGGTTAGCCATAGTCCCCACCACTCCCTGGTGTCACACACGCCAGGCCTGCCTTTCTCACTTGTGTTATCTGTCTGGCCCTGTGGGCACTGAGATCTAGTGGGCTCCTGATCTAGAAAGATGAATGAGGAAACAAACAGTCTCAAGGTGTGTGGTCTGGCATAATACAAGGGAGCCCTGGGGGCTGTGGGAGCACTGGGAAGAAGCTGAATTCCATAGCAGATACACAGGAGGCTGTCCAGGCTTCATCGTGGTCTCTTAACCTCCCTTGTCCTGGCATTCAGAATGCCTTTCCCAGCCTGATTCTGCCTCCATTTTTTCACTTTTATTTCCCCTGCTTTTGATTTTGTTCCCATAGGGACTCTCATTGGGTTATAAAGATTTTCTTTACAGATCCCAGCCCTTCCCACATCTGCAGCTGGCCTCCCCTCCTTCCTAGGAACCTTCCCAGATCACCTTGGCCAGCTGAGCTTGCACCTCCAAGCCCTCCCCTGAACTTCAGCATCACAGATTTGTATATTACAGAACTGGCCCATGTCATTGCTGCATCCCACAAAGATTGTACACTTACTATGTGGGAAGTCCTGGGCCAGAAAACGAAACAGCTGTGGACAAACCATGCAGAGTCCCTCCCCAAATTTAACTTACACTTGATAGGACCTACTGTGAGCAGACCCTGCACTGAGGGGAGACATGTAGGACCAGCTTGAGGGCCTTCCCAGTGGGAGTTCAGAACTAATAGAGCAGCTGACTGGGAAACAGTTTCTTAAAATTATGAGCCCATATAATGTGCTATGGAGGCCCAAAGAAAGAATGAGGCTGTCAGGGAGGGCTTCTTGGAGTAGTTGACATTTCAGCTGAGCTTTGAAGGAACTTAGCAAGTGAAAGGGAACAACATATGCAAAGGCACAGAGGAGAGACTGTCCCTTGGTCTGCCCAGGAGGGAGCACGTTGAGGGTAGGAAGGGAAGATAAGGCCAAGTGGGGAGGGTGGCCCTGACTGGCAGGCTGAAGGAAGCCAAGGGGTTATCTTACAGTGTGAATGATGTGGCTGGATTTGCGTGGTAGAAAGGTCCCTGTGAAAACTGATGTGTGGAAGGGTTGGAGAGGGTGAGGCTGAAGGCAGGAAGGCCAGTGGGGAGGCTGTTAGAGGCATCTGGGCAGAGATGCTGAGGCTGCCCACCCCCAGGCTCTGGTTTTCAGTGTCATCTCTGGCATTTGGAGAACGGAGACAAGACAAACCATCTCAATCCCTGCAACCCCTAGAGGGAGGTATCTTAGGGGGCACCCAGGTATAGAGGGTTCAGTGTTCTAGGGACACAGGGGAGCAGCAGCGTGCCCTAGTGGAGGTGTCTCCTTGCCCATGGTAGCCACAGGGTAGAGCAGAGAGGCCTTTCTGAGGCAGGCTGTCTGACCTTGCTCTGCTATGTCTTTCTATCCCTCTGTCCATGTATCTGTCCTCCTGCCCTGCAGGGCGGCATGTACATCTTCCAGCTCTTTGACTCCTATGCTGCCAGTGGGATGTGCCTTCTCTTTGTGGCCATCTTTGAGTGTGTCTGCATCGGCTGGGTGTACGGTGAGTAGTGGCTGAGCCTGCCCACACCCTAGGGCCCACTGCAGGGCCCAGCCCATGGGTGCTAGGGGGCCTGTAGCATGTCTCCATCCCTGTCGACCCCTTCCTCCTTCCCCTCAGGGACTCCTTGGCCTTTCTCACTTGTCAGGACAGCTTCCTGCTTTTACATGCCTCCAGCACAGGGCAGGGTGCTGGGCCCAGGCACTATGACCTCGGGAAGGGCCTTCTGCCGCTGAGGCTCAGTTTTCACATCTGTGAAATGGGGTGGTCATCATCAGGTCTCCAAGTAGGAGAAAATACAGGCAGAGGAGCCAGCACATGCCCTTTGGTCCTCCTGTTCCCTAAACCAAATCAGCAGGTGAGGGTTGCTGGGCTCGTTGGTGATGGACACTCCCACTGAGAGTATGCTTCCAGAATCTATGCCCCGGAGGGCCACCCCACTCATTAACAGCCCAGCCAGACCCTCGTCTTCAGGGCCCTGACCCCCATCCCCCGCAAGTCAGCCAGTCCCTGGTGCTGCCTCTCAAGGAGACCACCTGCCACCTTTCCCTAGAAACTCTTCACCATTGCCAGGCCTCACCACCAAAGGTCAAGGGCCCTTCCCAACATCAGACCAGAATCCCTCTGGCAGTTTATTCTGAAACCTCACCACTGTAACATCTTGGAGTTTTTAAGAAGTAAATAAGCCCAAGCCATAGTGTCTCCCTCAGGGTGGGGAAAGGAAACACTAGTAACCTTTCTTAAAGTCCTGTGCAAAACCTTGCTGGAGTGTGTGCCTGTCTGTTTTATTCTGGACAGGAAGCAACCGCTTCTATGATAACATCGAAGACATGATTGGCTACCGGCCATTGTCACTCATTAAATGGTGCTGGAAGGTCGTGACCCCCGGGATCTGTGCGGTAAGGGCCCGCCAGAAGCCACCGCTAGCCCACCCACCTACTTTTCCACTCCAGAGCCCCAAGCCTGCTGGCCTCCTGGGTGACCCTCTGTGCACTCAGAGAGACCGAGGCATCAGACACCTTTCTAAGTTGGAGCCATTGGGACAGTCTCTGGGCTTAGTGAGGGAGGAAGGTAGCCTCACTAGGACCCCAGGTTGCTGTGTAACCATGAGCAACTCACTTCCCTTCTCGAAGCCTCAGATTCTTTACCTACAAGCCATGTGGCTGGGGCTTACTTCCCTGGGGGCTGAGGATCTGTGAGAGATGTTTGGCCTTGTTATTGCAGAAGCATCAGAACTAAGAGAAAAGTTGGGACTCAAGCTCCGCCCTTCCAACCAGACCACAGAGAGGCCTTTGTGAGCAGGTGTTTAATAAAAAAGTCAACCCCACCGCCTTTCACCCAGTTCTTGGCACTGGAAGTATCTCAAAATATCTTTACAAACCCCTGTAGTTGAAAGACAACTTTGAGAGCAGCCCTGAGATATGCTAGGAAAAAAAAGAAATTCCTGACTGGGTGGAGGCCTGTGGGTAGGTAGGGAGGGTGTCACAGCCCCACTGATGTCCCCAGAACTGTGGAGTCCATTCCTTTTGTGTCTGATGCTCGTGGTCCGGGCCTCAAACTTACTGTGGACAGGAGCACAGCCTCATGTCACATGGGGTCAACCCAATTCCCTGCTGGCCACCTGCAGGCCTGAATCTGTCCCCATCAGGGTTGGGCAGGGCTGACGGCTGGCCCCCACAGACCCCTCCCCATCTCTCCACAGAGTATCTTCATCTTCTTCCTGGTCAAATACAAACCTCTAAAGTACAATAACATCTACACCTACCCTGCCTGGGGCTACGGCATCGGCTGGCTCATGGCCCTGTCCTCCATGCTCTGCATCCCGCTCTGGACCTTCATCAAGGTGTGGAAGACGGAGGGGACGCTGCCTGAGGTGAGACAGCTGGAGAGACACGTGGCAAGTGGGGCTCTGCGGGGACTGAGGCCGTAGGACAGGGCCTGGCTGTGGCTCTGCTCCCTGGGTCTCATCCTCCTCCTCTGGGCAGCGGTGCGATGAGGATGTGCCCCCATGTCTCTCTCAGGGGAACCCTGCCAGCCCCTCCCTTGGCAGGTGTTCATTAGCACCATTGTGGTGCCTCTGTGAGGCTTCAGGGTTGAGCCGGTGTCTCTGATCCCAGCCTCAGTTTCCTCATCTGTAAAATAGGGACAAGAGCAGCCCCTAAATTACAGAGATTTTGTGAGGACTCAGTGAGCTCACAGAGGGAAAGCACAAGACCAGGACCTGGAACAGAGAGTGACCGAGCCATGGACCCTACTGTTCAGTTAATTCATTAGGGACCCCATTCCCCAGGCAGAGGGAGAGGACCTGCCATTCGGGGAAGACCTGTCCCAGGTTGGTACCATGCCAGGCTCCCTATATGCAATATCTCCCTTAGTTCTCCAAGCTAACCAGAGTACTGGCATCATTTCCTGCATTTAATAAGCAAGGAAACCGAAGCTCAGGGAAATTAGTCACTCAACCGAACATTAGCATCACACAGCCAAAAATTAGCAAATCAATTTTTTTATTGACATATAACTGACATATAACATTATAGTAGTTCCAGGTTTACAACATGAGTCTGTGTTTTTATATTTTGTAAAATGATCACCACAGTAAATCAAACATTTATCACCACAGTTACACATTTTTTTTCTTGTGATAAGAACTTTTAAGATTTACTCTTTCAGCAACTTTAAGTATGCAATGCAGTATTATTAATTATAGTCATCACTATACATTATGTCCACATGCTTATTTATTTTATAACTGGAGGTTTGTACCTTTTGACCACTTTCACCCATTTCTCCCATCGCCCACCCTTCACCTCACCTCTGCCAACCACCTACCTCTTCTATCCATGAGTTCGTTTTTTTAAGATGCCACATATGAGATCATATGCTATCTGACTTATCTAATTTAGTATGAGGCCCATAAGGGCCATCCAGGTTGTTACAAATGGCAAGATTCCATTATTTTTTATGGCTGGCTGAATAATATTCTATTGTATGTATACATATACCACATTTCCCTTATCCATTCATCCATTGATGGACACTTCAGGTTGCTTCCATGTCTTCGCTAGTGGAAATAATGCTGCTGTGAACATGGGAATGCAGATATCTTTTCAAGTTAGTGTTTTCTTTCCTTATGAATAAATACCCAAAAGTGGAATTTCTGGATCATGTGGTAGTTATAATTTTAATATTTTGAGGAAGCTCTCTACTGTTTTCCATAGTGGAAACCAAATTTTTTGTAAAAAATTTATTGAGGTATGTTTTATGTGTCAAAATTCACCCCTTTTGGGGTGTACAATTCGATGATTTTTAAAGGAACGTTCTGCACAGTGTGATGATCATCACAGGTCCATTTAGAACATTTTCGTCATCTTAATATGACACCTCCTGCCCATTCAGAGTTAATCCCATTCCCCAGACAACCACGAATTGATCGCCTTTCTGTCTCTATGTATTTGTGTAGTCCGGACATTTCCTGTCGATGGACACGTACAGCATGTGGTCTTGGTAGCAGACTGAATCAGCAGCACCCAAGCCATCTTACTCCAGAGCACCCACTCTCTGTTTACTCTCCTTTCCCACCTGCTGGCAGATCAGATGGTTTGAGTCAGTTTCTCACTCATTTAGCAAACTGTTTGCCTTGTGCTAGACACTATTCTAAGCTGTTTACAAACACTGAGCCATTTAATCCTCATAGCAATCCTGTGAGGTGGAGGCTCTTATTGCCCCATTTCACAGATGGGGAAGCTGAAGCACAGAGAAGTGAAGGAATTTACCCAAGGGCACACAGCCTTCAAGTAACGGAGCAGGATCTCTGAGGTCAACACTCTCACCCCAAGTTTCGCTGCCTCATTTCTCTGCTGCACTGGCCTCATTCCATTGCCAGGCCCTCTCTCTGCCCCAGTGCCACGTCCCAGGGATCTTGGGATTGACCTTTGTCTCCCAGGACAAGGCCAGAGGGAGACAGGGCCATAGTGTGTGTGCAGGCTCCCAAATGTGAGTGCCAGCTCAGTCAGCTTCACCCAGCCTGCCTGACCCCAGAGGGGCCTGGGCTCCAGAAATAGCCATGCACCCAGCTAGAAGGAGCAAGCTGAGAGGGGAGTTCCCTTTCTAAGCTTGCTCATGCCCCCGAAGAAAGTCAGGCTCCTGCAAGAAATGTAGAGTAAGGATGGTTGTTCAACTGTCTGAAACCAAACCATGTCATTGGACACTGCAGGCCCTTATCCGAACTTCCAGCGGCCTTCTGGTACCAGAAATGCCCGGTGTCTCCTAGTGGAACCTCCAGAGATTGCCTCAGGCCTGGGGTGTGAGGGAGGGAGGAAGGAGAGGCTACTTTCCTGAGCTTCCTCAGTCTTCCTCCCCAGTCACACCTGCTGTGCGAGCAAGGCTTATTAAAGACAGTGAATTCTTTAGAGGTATCAGACCTGGTTTCCACACCTCCTTTATTGAGGGAACTTACACCAGTTAGTTCACCTCCCTCTGTTTCCAGAAGGTTCTGCCCACTGACAGGAAGGATCTGGAAGGAAAAATGAGGTCAGTGGTACTTAACTCAGAGAATCACTGTGAGGATGGATAGTCTGTGCTTATCTTTGGCCAGGTCCATTTACCTAGCCTTGTGATAATCCTAGAAAGTGGGTACCATTGTTATCCCCCTTTGACAGAAAAGAAAACTGAGGCACAGGGAATCTAAGTTTCTTGCCCCAGTTAAGTGGTAGAGCTGGGATTCAAACCCAGGCCCCTGGCTACAGAGCCCATGTTGTTAACTCCTGTCTTGTGTTAGGGGCCTAGTGCAGTGCCTGGCTCCCTGCAGGTGTGGAGCACAGGGGAGTCTGCCAGTTAATCCTTCCCGGGCAACATAGGTTCAGCTTCCTGGGCACGGGAGGATCTGAAAATGAAGACAGCACCTTGATCTTGAGAAACCAGCCACCCAGAAGTCTTCCCAGCCTTCCTGGGAAAAGGGTTTATGCCCAGAAGGACCTCCCAAATCCTGGTCTTCTCCCCAGGGAACCCAGGTGGCAGGCACATGAAGCTGTGGTGAGGGGTCCTAAGGCAGAGCAGTGGCAACAGGAGAAAGTGTCAGGAGTCTGTGCGTGGGCTCCACTCCATCACCAGTAGTGTGTGGATGATAGCTGCCCCACCCAGGCCTGGCCCATGGCTGGCCATTTTGCAAGGCATCATGGACCCTGATTTGTGATAATGTGTTCATCCTCAAGCACTGCCGGAGGAGCACACTGGACACCTTACACATTCTGCTGTGCAGTTGGCTGCATGACGCCTCCCCTTTTGTGGGAAACATGCCCACTTCTCCAGCAAGCATTATAGAAACTGCCCTTACTTCCCCTCACAACAGACCAGACAGACAGAAACAATTAGCCCACTTCACAGAGAAGGAAAAGGCAACACATGGAGGTTAGCTGCCTACCACAGCTGGTGAGAGGCTGAGCAGAGATTCAAACCCTAGCGAGATTCTCTTTCCCAGAGGGAAGGAATGAGGCAGTTGGCCCTGAGTACAGCCCCCTTGGCTGTCAGCCAGGCACAAGGCTGAGCACTTCTGCATACCATCCCCTCCCTACTCCCCAGCAAACGCAGGGGGTGGCTCCCTCCATTGTCTGGTTTTCTGGAGGAGGAAACTGAGACCCTGGGAGTCAGTTCATCACCCAGAACAGAGCTTTAAGTGGCAGACATGGGACCCAGACCTGAGTCTGATGATTCCATGACCCCATGGTGTCCGCCCAGGTAGCTGGGAGAGGCCACGGCAGTGTCCAGGACCCTGGCAGCCACTCTCAAACAGCTCTTCTCCTCTTCAACCATTTAGAAATTCCGCAAGTTGACGATCCCGAGCTCCAATCTGAAAATGCGGGGCAAGCTTGGGACAGGCCCACGGACAGTGATGGTTAATGACTGTGAAGCCAAACTCAAGGGCGATGGGACCATTGCAGCCATCACAGAGAAGGAGACGCACTTCTGAGTGACGTGTGTGCCTCGGACGCCCCTCCTTCCTCTCCTCCCACCGTGTGTATAAATGAATATCTGAAACATGCACGTCACCTAATGGTAGAGGCTTGCTCATTTTGCACAGGATTTATTAACAAGTTAATTTTAAGGTGGCTGTGTACACTCTCGTACAAAGTCACATTCCCCTCTTCGCCCCCGTTATCATGTAAGTAACATTACAAAGAGATAATACTGTGCAGGGACTAGCAGAATCTTCTTGTGCTAGGACGGTTTTAAACAATATTTTCTAGGGGCCAGGAAGAAGTTGTATCCTATGGTCAAACTTTTATACCCAGGCTGTGGGGCAGGTTGGGTGGGAGCCATGCCTGTCCTCCTCTCTCAGCCTTTTAACTGACCAGTCCATGTCCCATGTTTGTCCCTGACCATTGCAGCTGCCCCTCCTCCCGTGCCCCCAGGGGAAGGCTTTGCCTTCAAGCCCTCCCTTTCAGTCTCCTAACCTCTTAGTGGGTTTGCAGTCAGCAAGGCTGTGTCTGAGAAGGAAGTCCTACCAGACCTCAGACCTCCCACTGCCCTGTCCCCTCTAAGTGGCCTTGAGCCCTCCTTTCCCCTTCCCTGCCTCAGTTTCCCTATCTTCCAAATGGGGAGGGCTGGGTCAGGTGACCTCTGAAGCCCTTCCCAGCCTGGCTGCGTCTCTGGTGATTCTCCTGATGCCTCACTGCTGGCAGAACTGCCACCGACCTTGGGTTCTTCTGAAGACCCTGCACACCGTCACCCTCCAAACCACCTTCACCTACTTATTTAAAATCAAGTTTGTCATTGAAACGATGTGGTGGTGATATTTGTTCTCCCAAAAAGTCTAGTTTGATTTTATCCAAGTGGCTCCATTCTCTAGAGACCAGTCAGGTCCTTGGCCCCCAGGACCCAGCCCCTCCTGCCCTGTCCGTCTGCTCTCAGCCCTGCTGCTCCGTCCTGGGTGGTGGGGCTGGAGTTGCGTGGGCACTGGTTTTCAGGGTCAGGAAGCAGCCGCTCTCCTCCTTGCAGCTCTGTCCTGCCGCTGCCCCAGCTGGGATGTGTGTGTCACGAGACCTTCCACCAGCCTCCCATGGGAAGGAGCTACAATAGGGCCTGGAGCCTGGCCTCGTCCTCCGGTCCCTTCTTCATCCCCCTGCCACCTCTTCTCCCTCTGGCTGCCGCCTGCCCTCCTCTCTCTCCCACCATCCTGCTACCTCTCGATTCCCTTGCATCCCTCCTGTCACCAGCAGAACCTTCTCTCAGAGGCTTCTTCCCTGTGCTTTTTAGGGGAGTTCTCACACCTGCCTGTCTCACCAGGGGGCAAAGAAGCCACCCGCTTCCTGGAGGGGAGAACTGGGCTCCCCACCCTCGCCGGGTGCAGGCCTGGGGTTTGGTGGGGAGGCTGGAGACTGCTTCAGACCTTTCTGACTGATCTTATTTCTTTTTTAATTGGATTTCACATCAAGCCTCTGTCCTGCATTTTGAGTTAGAGACAGGGCAGGTGCATTCTTCATCCTTTCTCTCTGTTCCCAATTTTATTTGGTAGAAACAGGCACTTTCTCCAAACCAAGGCTCTAATTTCCTGTAGGGAACCTGCATTTGATTCACCCAAAAGTTTCCTAATGCCCAGCTTCTCTGCTCTAGCCAGCCCCCATATGAGGGCTCAAGTTTGTTAGGAAGGATGTGCCATGCTCCCAGACAGGTGGGGACACCTGGTTCTGGGCCCCCTTTTGCACACAATGCCCAGGCTGCCCAGCCTCTCTCAGAGCTGTGTGATCTGGTGGACACAGGAAGTGGACCCAGGAAAATTGGGGCTCAGGCTGAGCCCCCTGCTTGTGTCTCTCCTCATCTGCTCTTCTCCCAACAGGTTCTGGGGAGAGAGGCTCCCTCTGTTGCTGCTAGCAGTTCTCCACCACCAGCCCTACAGACACACAACCACGTGGTCTCCTAGGGACGCACTGCACTGTACATGTAGCACTTAACATTCACTTACCACTACTTGTGGGGCAGAGTGGAGGGAGGGTTATCCTTTTTTTTTTTTTTTTTTT